TCAGGAATTCTAAATTTAAAATGTTAATACATACTCCCCAGTGTGCCAGGGAAGGCTGTGAGAATTTTGGTCCCATTTGGAAACAGAGACAGGTAATTATGCCAGAAATGGAGCTACACTTTACTTCGATAATATGCACCAAATTCTCTGTTTCTTCTCGTTTTGCAGAAAATGGTAAACACAGGGAAAAGAAGAGGAGTTCCAGACCCTGGGTACCAAAATATTACAGACACACAGGAAATGATTTTCAAATCCAGCCTGTAAACGTGTCATTTTGTGGGCTGCTCTGTGAGCCTAGAAAAGAGAGGCAAAGATCACATGGAAGACTTTCCTGCGTTCTGGGAAGGCTGTCCTGGAGGACTTCTGGAGGCCTTCCCCCGCCCAGGTGCTCTGAGTCACAGCTAAGCCCTAATTTGAAGTGTTGGAGAAAAGCCTATGAAATTTGAGGCAAAATATGTGGCTTAAACCTATCTCACTTTGCTTAAAAAAATGCAGACTTTGAAAAACAAGTGAAAGGCTAAAATATATTTTTGGAGGGAGTGGGGTATGTTCTCAGGCCTATTGCTTTATTTTAAGGTTTTCAATGAAAAATACTCCAAATATGTGATAAATAAGCTACTGATTCGTTGAAATATGCATTAAGCTTCCTGAAACATTTATGTACTGACTCTACTTTTACATTAATCTATCTGAATTATGTTTCCGGTGTATTAAACAAACGCTGTGCCTCTGGTTAGTGAACTGGTTTTGGATTCACTAATTCTCCAAATATTTGTATTCTGAGCGCCTTCTAGGGTAAGACATTCTTTGAATCAAACACACGAATTGATCAATCAATCTATGGGCTCATTGGGGCGCTCCGTCCTCCCCTCCATCGCAGTGAGGAAGCACACTGGGCCTGGAGCCAGACTGTCTGACTCTCCCAGCTCTGCCACCTTGAGCAAATTGCTTCACCTCTGTGAACCTGGGTTGTCCCCTGAAAAGTAGGGCTAGTAATAGCACCTGCCTCATCAAATTAGATAAGTCAATACGTGTAAAGCGCCGAGAACGCCTAGCAGGTAGTAAGTACTCAATAAATGTTGGCTATTCATTATGTAACAAGCATGGGGAAAAGGTATGTACAGGTACAGATTCAGAGATAAATAGAACAAGGTGCATGAAGGAGGGAATACCTGAACTGTTTCTTGGAGGATAAGAAGGGGTTCACTCAGTAGATGGAGAGGGACCAGGCCAAGCAAATGGTACAAGTGAAGGCACAGAACTATGAAACTAAAGAGCATATCTGGAGAATTGTAAACGGTTCATTAGACCTAGATTAAAAGGTGTGTTAGCATGAGGAGAGACAGCCCTCTGCCGCACTTCTCATCACGTGGGTTTGGTCAATAAATCCTGAGTGGTCTCACTCCTCACCCTCACACAAATCCGAGGCTTTACAAGAGCATTCTGGCAAGCTGTACAGTTAGGGAACCATCAGAGTGTTGCTGATCATAGTAGCCGTGAACTTGGCTGAAATCCTCAAGAACCAGCTGGAGAATGATAAGGGAACAACATAGGCTACACTTGCATTTGAGGGCAGTTGGAAGAGAAGGAGCCAGAGAGATGAAATAGAGACGAGAACCAGAATGTCATGGGGCCCTGGAAGAAACCAAAGGAGTAAAAAGTGTTTCACATCAATTATGACATTTTTGATAAAAAATGACAGAAAACTTAAACTGGTTTAAACTGTCAATATTTATTGGCCCACATAACTGAAAACACAGAGGAACTCAGTTTACCATCAACACTGAGCAGTTATATGGAGTGCCTGCTATGTGCCAGGCATTGTTCCACTCAATGAACAAAACAGGCACCAAGTCCCTCCTCTGCAGACCATACATACAAGTGCTTCTTGGTATCTTTTTTTTTTGCAGTAAAATGCAAATGTGATGCTTCACATTGGGAAAACTAAGTGGAGAGAGATGAAGAGAAAGCTTTAGAATTTAACGAAAAGTCCAAAACATTTGCTGGGAATTTAACACCTTTTTGTAGGACTATCTGGAACTTCTGTCCTAGGTGATAATGGAGGGGTGAAATGTGGAAGCAGTTATGTATGGATACAAAACTCTAAAATCCAAAATACCACCAATGATACGTTTTAAAGTCCAGTTGTGGATTTAATCAAACTTTTTGACTCATTGAATTGAGTTGCTAAGTTCATTCAGGTACCTGTAAAAATAATTACGCTTTTCAAATATCACCGGTAGGGCTTCAATTGCACGGTAACATGTTTTGTATGTAGGTCATGTCCAAACCTGCATTAGTCCATTCACATTTTAATTAAAAAATATATAGTTTGCAATAAAAGAAAACCTCTTAGCCATTATATCCAACTGAGCACTATCAGTTTCTCATATCCCTGTCTCTTCTCCAATGCCTTAGTTCATTCAGACACTTACCACTCTACTGGACTACTGCAATGGGTCTTTCTGACTCGACCTATCCCCTATATATCCATCCTCCCCATGGCTACCAATGTGATTTTGCTAAAATGAAGATGGGTCCTTTGTTCCTAACACAATGCTTTGCACCAAAAAGTGCTCTATAAACCTTGCGTGGAACGGGATACAGATTCTAGCCTGAGCTCTGAAGCTAACTCATGGTGTATCTGTGGGTATATTACTTCATCTTGCTGGGCCTATTTTCCATTCCCTAATCTGAAAAGGATAAAAACCTACCTCTTTAGGTTTTTGGAAAACAAAATACTACTACATGATTGAACTTTGTGAACTCAAAAGCACTCTATAGCATTAAGGGTTAAGATTAGAAAGTTGCAAGTTTGCAAATAAGTCCAGATAATATTAGTATTTTAATGGCTAAAAAGCAGTGTCACTTTCCTCAGTAATGTTCTTTGATTCCAATTAGAATGTTTTCCATAAAACTCTATAAAGCTATTCACACTTTGAATTTTAAAATATGGCCCACAAATGCTTAGTTCTTTTCTCAAATTTTACCCCTATAGAAAAGAAAGTCCTTCATACCTGATGTGGCTAAACTTCTTTATTTTAAAGACAAGGAAACAATCAGAAATATCAAGTGACTTGATCCCCTAAAAATGAAGCAACTTGGATAGAGGATTTTCCTTATCTGTATGGATTTTATGAGATTCTTCTCCACTGGGTCTTCACTAGCTGAACCAAAAAGCTCCTGCCCTCAGTCCCCACATGGACACTTGTTTCACAAACATGTTCCCAGGACATCTCTGAAAGGGGAAAAGAATCCATTCTCTAACATGGTGATGGATGTAGAGAGTGACAGGAAAAGTACATTTTCCAACCATGGATACTTCTGTGGAAGGTTAAGCAATCCACAAACAAGTTTCTTTCCCCTTCATTTTCTAGCCGTTTTGAAAAGAAACCCAATGAAATACAAATGGTTGAGTCAGACTGCTCTAAAATATTTAGCCTCCTTCTTCCTAAATCCTCCCTTCCCCAACTAAATTAAAACTAGCCTGACCTGTACTAGCATAGGTGCACATCTTCCAGCAGCTGCTTAATAATCTCACAGGTGTAGCCACTACCTGTCCTGTCTAAAATACCAAAACATACACCCTCCCCACCCAAAAAAAGTTATGCTTGCTTCCCCTCTTTCTGTTACCTTCTAGAAAGGAGGCTCAAAGCACTACTAGGGACTGATTCAGTGAGATTTTGTTCTCTGTCGTAAACTGATCTAAGTTGGGAGTTGAACCAATAAATGGTAAAAAGAGGTTAAAAAGATTTTCAGACCGTGGCTTGCTGGACTTTTTGTACGAGGTTTGCTTTCACGCTCATTTAAAAATCTTGCGATATTTCAGTAACTTCTGAGATATCTGCTCCACCAACACATGCATCCAGACTATAGATTTCTCCAGATTTGGGAATCACAACCTCATAATTATCACTCCATTTGTTTAGTTTGGTGTCACACTGGGGTCACACTTTACCAGTTGATGCCATTCCCTAGTATATGATACCATAGCCCTCTAAATCTTCATATACAAAGACTTCAATCTTAAACAAAAAGTTTCTTGCTTTATCAATTTCAAGATTCATGTACAGTCATGTGTCACTTGATGCAGACACATTCCAAGAAATGCGTTGTTAGCAATTTCATCATTGTGCGAACCTCAGAGTGCACTCACACAAACCTAGATTGTATAGCCTAGTACACACCTAGGCTATGTGGTACTAATCTTATGGGACCACCATTGTATATGCAATCTGTTCTTGACTGAAATGTCATTATGCCACGCATGACTGTATTTGTAAACCTAGAGGATGAGCAGCTGTAGAATTGGTTTTTGCGTTTGAGATATACTGGAAGCCATCATACTGTTATGTTTCTTCCTCATTCCACAAAACACCATGGCTGGCACAATCACTTTTAATGACTTTACAAATTTCAATCTACTTGATCCATGTTCCCAACCAAACAAATTTTATATAGTTTTTCAAATGTTGGCTTTCAGCATGTGGGAAAATAATTAGATTGGGGATGTTTTTAGAACTCAAAGACTGATGTCTTTAATTTTTCATATACACTAAATGTGCAGTGTCCTGAAATTAATCTTAAAGGCTTAAGAATCATGGAAAGATTGATGCTGTGTGTAACCTCTCCTTTTTATCATTCAAAGTGTTACAAATAACTGCACTGCATTTTGGACTGTAGAACTCAAAACAAATATTATATCTTCCTGACTAGCCCTTATTCATTTTCTTGAGTATTATTATATGCAAAGCATTAAAATAGGAGCTGGGTAGAGAAAACATGTAGAAATAGAGTTGCCAGATAAAATATAAGATGCTCAGTTAAATATGAAATGCAGAAAAACAAATGTTTAGTATAAGTATGTCCCAAATATTGTATATACTCAAACGTTATTTGTTGTTTATCTAAAATTCAAATTTAACTGGGTGTCCTGTATTTTTATTTGTTATATCTGGCAACTCTTCGTAGAAGATTCCTTATCTTCAGCAAACCTACTATTTAACGGAGAATTTAATGAGCAATCATAATATAAGGCATAGACGATGAGTGCAGAGATAATAACAACCAGGGGAGGAAAAGATCTCCACTAACCACCACAGCAGAGCACTGGGAAGATAAGCAACTGCAGTTACTAAGAGAGGACTCGATTGTGATTGATGGATGGGAGGTTCAGTGCGATGATTTTGGAGTTCAAGTGTCCTGAGTTAAATTCCAAATTCAGAGCTCACTAGCTGTATAACCTTGGACAAGTTAATCTCTCTTTATTATAAAATGAGGCTACTCATACCTGCTTTACTAGGCTGTGTGAGGATCAGAGATAACATGCACAAAGCACCTGGAACACACAGGAGGCACTCCCTAAATGGTAATACCTACTATTAAAATGTAACATGGTAAAGAGGGTACTTGTCGCAGACAAATATTCAAATGTTAATGTTATGCAGTAATACTAATACTGAATAAGTAATTTTATTTCCATGATCTATTTACACTGTACAAACACTGTTGAAAAGCACCCTACAAGTTCACAGTACATTACAATATATTTACTTTAAAAATATATTCCTTTATAAAAGGTTCATAGAACGTTGGCATGTCAACGTGACAAAACTCTCAAAGCATGTCACCAATTCCGTGATAGCAAGAATGCTTCCAAGTATTGTCAATTTCACAATCACAATCACCATTTCAGTTTTAAATACATACAAGTTTTAAATAAGAAATGAATTCTACAGTGGAAAGTTCCTGCAGCAATACTTATTAGTTAATTAACACGTATTTTCATGGACATGTTGGATCACAATAATTTACAACACCAACTTAATCTGCCAAAAAGAAACCATTTCAACAAGTTTCGCAGTCCAGAAATTCTTGTCATTTGTTTTCTACTTTTTCTTCTTTGCTGTTTCTCCTGGTTCTACTTTGCGCTTTTTAGAAGTATGCTCATCTTTTTCATCATCTTTAAATAGGAAAGGAAGAGTTTCAATCAGTAATTTCAAAAAGATACAACAAAAAACATGTTAGATATTAAAATTTCACTGACTTCATATCAAAATCAGCACCCTCATCAACTATTGTTTTCTTTCAAAGTTTCCCAATAAAAACCAAAAATTAACTTTTAGAACTCTGATTTAAAGTGTATGTAAAAATAAAGATTTTTTTTCAATTGTGGTGTTACACAAAATTCACAAAGTGAGCCTTTAGTATATTATGGTAGCTTAAAATGAGAAAAATCAGATTTGTTCTGAAAAAGCTGCTCCCAAATATTCTATAGTATATACCTCGTATATATTTAGATATATAATCTACACTTTGTAAAAATGGAACATATTCTGTTTCTTTTTACAAAAAATATCAATTTAACCACGACATTTGAGTGGCTATCAGCTGTCCTTTCCCTTTCAATCTGCTTTCTCTTCCCCTAAAACAACTCCCCTCCCTATCTCAACCCCCTTCCCCCCAATCCTTATATTTTGAAGTTAAAAAAGCACTCACAGGTAGATATTTCACTGAAACGTCATTCTCAATTTTGTCCTACATAGTTAGTTCTACTCCTCCCGTCCCCTACTCCTAGGAGAGTTGGAATATTCTAATGGCAACAGAAAAACCGACATCTTCCCCTTCTTCATATTATGGAGAATTTGGGGAAGGGAGAGTGGAGGAGAACCTCACATTAGAACAATGTCCTTTACACTTTCCCAAAATGTTATTTACCGTCTGTAGCCACAGAAAATTTCCAATTAATAAAAACGTCAAACATGAAAAAGTTGGCCCGTTTATTCAATTAAAAAATCTAACAATAGGATAGTTCAATAAAATGCAGGGTAGCACAGACCAGCTTCTACTTCCCAACTCCCTAAAGAAATGTGTGGCTTTATTTTAAGAACTCCATATAGAGTAATATGTAGATGATGTTCTGATTTGTAAAATACGAATTTAGTTTAAGCACGTTACTGAATTCCTTGTAGTTTTTGACTTTATTTTCTTGATCAACTATCAAGATAGTTCAACAACTATCATGTGGTGGTCTATAAAATATTTTCATGTTGAAAAGGGCCCTCATATTAGAAAATCTGGGCAACTACTTATATCAGATCATAAACTCTTTATGGAGGAAATATATTTAAAACCTTAAGCCTTTAATTCCCTTCTATTGACTGTACCACACTCATAATTGATCTCCTTTGTTGGATGTGGACAATAGTTAGTATCAACAGCAAGGGCTTCATCTTCATTCATCTTCAAACACAGTATGGTGATGTTAGCCATATATTTCATGGAGCACTATGGATTTATGTAGGCAGGAAGATAACATACAATTCAGATCAATGACTCACCCCAGGAGTTTACAAACCAAAGTTTTAATCAGCAGTTCATCATGTACACACAAAAATACTGGCTCTGCAAACCAAATGATCACGGCACATAGCTCAAACAAGCCAAGGCTTTTGTTTTTTAATTGGAGTTTAATCACCACCACGCTTGACTTTTGAGACAATTTTTAGTAGTGGTAATATAAAAACCGAAATTACTTTCTAACTCTACCATAAAATCTACTGTTAACACATATTAAAAAGATGATCTTGAGACACTTCTGCTTTTTATTTGCCACTTATTACAAGTAAAAATGTACTGAATAACAATAAAACCACAAATCACTGAGTTTGGAAAAATAACTTCCTATCAGTGATTTGAACAGAAGAGCTAATGCCATCTAGTGACATGACAAGGCACTGCCTTAAAAAACAGTGCAGGAAAAAAATCTGAAATGTTTGTTCATCAACTTTACTGATGTGCCATATAGATGCACTAATGAGGAAACAATTTTTCTACTATGGAACTCATGTCACTCAAGGTAAAGAAGTTTAAATTATTAATACGAACTAACTTTCTAAATTCTTAAAAAAAAAAATTAGCCAGGCTTTCATGATTAATTACATGTTAATAAAGCTAAATTAATACCTAAGCCTTACTGATCTACATTTTACAACCACAAAACAAAAAGTGCTGATAGGTAGCAAGACTCAATGAGGAGTTTTGAATCTTTCCCAGCTCCTCCTCTAAAATATATGCAAGAAGTTAACTGGCAAAAAAGGCCAAAGGGCAGAAAATGGGAAGAAAAAGTAAAAACAAAGAAATTTGATAATATAAAAATTAGATAATTTAAGAGTGTGGAGTTTCTAATACAAGATATTTTACAAATTAAAAAAAAATGAAGTAGGGGCCGGCCTTGTGGCATAGTGGTTGAGTCTGGCATGCTCCGCTTTGGTGGCCTGGGTTCGTGGGTTGGGATCCCAGGCGCAGACATACACTACTCATCAAGCCATGCTGTGATGGCGACCCACGTACAAAATAGAGGAAGACTGGCACAGATATCAGCTCAGGGCTAATCTTCCTCAAGCATTAAAAAACAAAAAAAGTAAAAATATGATGTTGGGGAAATTGATTTTACAGTGACCTTGTGAACATGTTATGGGAATCTGAATTGGTAGAAGTCACTTCTAAAAAGGGAGTACTTATTACAAAAAGAAGATAGTTATATTCAATAACCAACATTAAAGTCAAAATTGAAGATTTCAGAATTATCTTATAATCTCATGATCCAGCTTTAAACTGGCTGAGCACTGGGTCCTTCTGTTTTGTTTTTTTTTTTGTGAGGAAGATCAGCCCTGAGCTAACATCCATGCCAATTCTGCTCTTTTCGCTGAGCAAGACCGGCTCTGAGCTAACATCTATTGCCAATCCTCCTTCTTTTTTTCCCTTTTTTGCCCCAAAGCCCCAGTAGATAGCTGTATGTCATAGTTGCACATCCTTCTAGTTGATGTAGATGGGACGCCGCCTCAGCATGGCCAGACAAGCAGTGTGTTGGTGCGTGCCCGCGATCTGAACCCGGGCCACCAGTAGTGGAACACGCGCACTTAACCGCTAAGCCACGGGGCCGGCCCCAAAGGTCCTTCTGTTTTTTGATATTGTCTATATTCACTTGCTTATGGAAGACCATCAAATGATCAAAAGGATAGAAATTATCTATGGGAAGAACTGTGTTACTTGCCACATTTGGAACTCCGTGTAATTGAACTCAACAGGCAAGCTGGAAAAAAGATACTTCTCTCCGCTGTTTGTCCTGGTATATAATCCTGGCCTTTTCCATTCAGGAACAAAGACAGGAGAGCAGCAGCCTATGGCATCCTAGTCTGAGTATCAACTCTAGTGCCCTTGCTGCCATTCTTCCTACAGGATAGCTATTTCTCAATTACTCTAGCCCGCAAAACATCAAGAGACTAGACCCCGGTTTATTAAGGCATCGTTTCCATTTAAAGACCTGAATTTGAATCCCTATTCTGCCTCTTCCTAGCTGGGTGAATTTGGGCAAATTCTTTAATCTGAGATTGTCTTCTTACTTGTAACACAGTAATAATAAATCATGTACCACTTCTGTAGTAGGTTGCTAAATTAGAAAACTTGTGTGAAAGTACCTATTTTAGAGCTTGGCATTTTCTAGTTTTGTGACAAGTCACATAAGCTCTCACTTCTACATTTCCCTGTCTGGTTTCACAAGCTGTTGTAAAGATTACAGATTATTTATGCAAAAGTATTTTTATTAATTGTATCAAATACTATACAATATGAGGTTTTATAAATGCCCACTTCATTTGGCATCTCCAAAAAGAAGCCATTTACTGAAGATATGCCTTCATTAGTGACTTCTAATCCACATTGGGAAACCAGTGAAAGAAACAGAAAAACCAGATGGAATCAAAACTGAGTAAGAACTCCTGCCAGTTAGCTACCCTTCCTCTTAAAACAACTCTCTGTACAGTTGTAAAAGGAGCTAAAAAAGTAGCCCTTGCATTATGGGAAGATCAGAAATCTGTGTAACAAAAATAGCACACACTTTTATAAAAAGTGATACTCCAAAACATGTAGTTCAATTCAACAATTATCCACTGAATACCTACAACATACTACAAACTGAGATACAACCATAAATAAGACCTGGATCTTGCTGTTTAAGGAACTCATAGACTTATGAACAAATAATCACGTAAAAGGTGATAAGTGCAATCAACAGCATTAGCACATACAAGGCACAGAGGAGCAAATAATTAATCTGAGACTTTTTCTTCTTCTTTGAGTTGGATTTTGCAAGATGAATGAGTTTGACAGCCAAAAGGGAGAGAACATTCCAGACTAAGGTGCAACATACACTGAAAGGCATGGAGCCATAAAATAGCATGGCCTATTCACTTCTGAATTTCAAGATCTTAAGGTGCTGGAAAGGGGGCCATGTGAAATGAGGGTGGCAGGGCCTGTCACAGACGGCTCTGACTCCATTCTGTTGGTGAAGGGTTTTAAGCAGGTGAGTTACATGATTAGATATGACTTCTAGAAAGTGAACACTAACTGCAGTGTGAAGGATGGAGTGGGAGGGGGGTAAAAGTGTGGAGGCAGAGATTACTGTGAATGAAAAAATGAAATTACTGTACTACGAACAAAACAAATAAGTCATTCTTTCTATTACTATATAGTAGTACTCAGTTAAATTCATTTTGTCACGCCAATTTTAGCTCTAAAGCACAACTGCTTTATTATAAAATGAAGCCATCAGCGCTTTACAGCTACAATCACAAGAAACCACGAATTAACTCCTGCTGTTCTAATAATAAAGCACCATAAATCACACATACCACTGGTTGAGATACCGATGATTTCACTTTAAAGCCTGAATAATTTATGATCTTTCTCTAAAACACAGCAAAAACTACTGGTTGAGGGATCAGAGACTTCACTTTAAAGCCAAATACATACAATCTTTCTCAAAAACACAGCAAAAAGTATCCAAAGACCATCATAATCAGTTTCTTAACTTGCTAAATTTAAACTGCATTCATTAAATATCTCGTTCTTTTTAAACCCATCACAGGGACCACCACAGAGGTCTAACTCTCCTTACCGGATTCCACCGTCTCCTCCCCTTCCGGCAGAAGCCTAGCCTTCTTAGCATTCTGTGGGGCATCATCACCATTGTCCTCATATATGTTAGACCATTTTATTGCCATATCCAGCTCTGGAGGCGGAGGTTTCTTCTCAGTACTGTAGGTCTCCGGAGGTGGCACATAGTTTGACTTCCATACTTTGAATTCCTTTGGAGGCTGTTAAGCAAACACATTGAGAAGCACTGTGACGATCCGAGGTGCCTATAATCGGTATGGGCACATGCACCTCTCTGTCGTTTGCTTATTGTTCAGGTTGACTTTTCTTTTTAAGGGTTAAAGACACATTTTTCCATCAAAATCACAATACTGTTAAGTGAAAAGCCAAAGGGTTCCCTATACGAATAAAGCTAATAACTTTTAGTTACCAAAGAAGAATCCAGTCTCAGAGACACTACGCCAAGGCTGACCCCTTCAGGAGGCTGCAGCAGACACTGTCTTGGAGGCAGCACCGCAGGCACTTCGGCGTCAAAGGGAAGGGGTCTCGGGGAGAAGCTGCAGCGGGGTGGGGTGGGGGAGTCACCACCGTTAGTCCTCGCCGCGCGGGGTCAGGGCACCGAGCACGGAGGATGGGGCGTCCTCACACGGGGCGGGGGCTGCGGGTCAGTCTGACACCCACCAGGCTGGGGGAGGGGCTCGGGCTCCCCAGGGCTGGGGGAGGGAGGGGCGGCGCGGCATCCCGCAGGGGGTGACTGCGTGTGGGGGAACAGACAGCCGGGCCCCAGGAGGGTGCTCGGGAGCGGGGGCCCGAGGCCGGGGCCAAGATCAGGAACCGCGGTCGGGGACCTCACCTCCTCCGGCGCCTTGACGACGTGCCTCTCCCAGTCGATCTGTTTGTTGAGCGGATTGTAGAGAAAGGCCGGGCGAGTCACGCTCCGGAACAGCTCGTCGGGGCCCGGCAGCCGCTTCTCGGCCTTGTTCCCACAACTGCCCGCCGACTTCGCCGGATCCGGGGCCCTGCGACTCGTCTCCTCCGGCTCGCTGTTATCCTCCTCGTCCGAGGAGCCTGAACTGCTGCTCCCGTAAGCCGCGAAATAGCTCAGCGGGTCCTTCTCCTCCGCTGCCATGACGGCTGCGCGCGACGACCGACGGCTCCGCCGGAAGCCGGAAGCTGCTCCAGGCCCCGCCCCGCGGTTAGCCTCACCCCAAGACTCGCAGATGCGCTCGGGGCCTGCGCCCCCTGGCGGCTGCGCCGCGCTCCTGCTCCTGGGCTGAGGGACAGGCTGGAGGCGGGGCCGCGCACATTCCCAAACGGGGGCTACTTTTGCTCATTCCTGAGGGGCCCTGAGAAGAGACAGGTCCTGAGCCTGTGGTCCCAACCAAGTTTTCAGCATTCAATAAGAATTTATTGAAGGCACAGAAGAGCTAAGGATTTTGTCTTTTCACTGCCACCTCACTTTAGCCCTTGCCCAAAGAGACCAGGATTTCTTCCTGATCCCATGGCCTCTCCTCTTCAAGATAAAAATTACTCTCAGTGTACTTCCCTCAGTCGTCATGGAAGACCTGTGTGGGCGGTGGACTCATCAGGTCACAAACTGAATCCTCTCCTGCTTGACCTCGTTCCAGCGCCCTCTGAACAACCTCTCTCTTTGATGAAACTCCTCTTGGATTGCATCCCACCACTCCGGGGGTCGTCCAAACCCTGGCTGCTCATTGTCAGCCTTCTTCCATGCCTGCTTTGCTCTGTGTGGCCCTTAAACGATGGTGTTTCCCAGCATATGACACCATCTTTCAGCAATACTTACTGATCTCTTGTAGAGGGTGTTACAAAGTTACGAGTCAACCAGCCCATCTCTTTCCAAGGCATTAACTAAGATATGCTTGTGACTCCCAAATCTGGGTCTCCCACCCCATCATTCTCCTCAAAGCTCTGGACTGGACCTCCACCTGGCTCTTCTACTTTCCATATGGACATCATGCTGGGGCCTCAAATACCCACCTTATTGGATCAGTAACTAGTCTTTCCATCTAACTTGTTTCTGCATTTGTGTTCTCTCTCTTAGTAAATGACATAACCATGTGCCTAGTTACCAGGGAAACTAGAAATCTTTGACTTCTGGTGAACTAAGAGGGAATGATACTCAAATGAAAGTGATGAAGTTGTGGTATCAGAGTAAAGGTTTACAGACGCCACATAAAGATGCCTGCTCATTCAGATGATACTCACACTCATTTATAACTTGCCATTCTTGCTGGAGGTAGGCTCCGGGGGGCAGAGATATGTCTAGCTTGTTCACTCCTCTTTACCGGTCCTATAGCACAATGTCTGTGAGCTCCTTAAGGGGAGGAGTTGGACTGTGCTTTGTTCATTTTTATATTCCTGGCATTCAGCTCAGTGCCTGTCACTAAGCAGATGATCAATAAATATTGTGGATTATAATAATTTATGAGGGTGTAGGTCTAGGTAAGTGTTTCTCAAATTTTTCCATCCAAGTACCTATGTTGACAGAGGAAAATGATGGTCCCAAAGTACAAAGTTTGGGAGTAACCCAAACGAGCCTCACTTCTGAGACCAATTGCAAACTTTTGCTAGAAGGATTCACTGAAAGCTGTTTTATTCATGGTTATGGTTTATTATAGCAAAAGGATATGGATTAAAATCAGCCATGGGAAGAGGTGCATGGGGCAGAGTCTGGGAGACTTCCACATGCATAACTTCCAGCTGTCCTCTCCCAGTGGAGTTGTAGACGGTACTAACTTCTTGCAGCAAAGATATGTGACAGTATGCATGGAGCCTGCCAACCAGGGAGGCTCATCTGAGCCTTGGTGTCCAGAGTTTTAACTGGGGCTTGGTCATGCAGACATAGTTGCTTGCCCACGTGGCTGACCTCAGTCTCCAGCCCCTCCATAGGTCAAACTGATACTGTGTGGCCCAAAGCCTACGGGCATAAAAATTTTGGGGAATACAGTATAATATCTTGCAAATGTATGCAAATTTTATATACTAGTGCCTAATATAGCTTTTATTTTAATATACAAAAAATATTTAAAATTACTTATTGAGTAAAATTGACACTCTAAGAAGATAATCACATTTATCCCGTGGCTTTTAAAACTGGCCCACTGTTGAATGCCTCTGGGGTTGGGGTACCACTTAGAGTAATATGAGTTCCTGTTATCAAAGCCACCAACAGCCTCCATGTGACCAAGTCCAAGGGCCACTTCTTACCTGACCTTTTAACAAGGGGGACTTTCTTCCTGAGACACATTTTTCTCTTGCCTTTCACTAGATCATACCCTTTAGTTCTCTTCCTATTTCACAGGGAGGGCTCTTTTCAGTTTCTTCTGTTGCCTTCTTCTCTGTCTCACCTCTAGATGTGAGAACACCTCAGGCTCAGTCCTGGACCTTCCTTTCTTTTCTATCAACCCTCCATTTCAAGGTGAATGCATCACATCTCATGGTTTTAAATACCATTTTATGCTAAGAACTCCCACATTATTATATAATCAGTTCAGAAGTCTTCCCTGAACATCAAACTCCTGTATCCAATTTCCAACTTAAATGTCTAGTGAGCCCCTCAAATTTAACATATTTGTGGTAGATTATCTACCAAGATTGCTGCCAACAATTCCTGCCATCCCTGTGCGTGTGTGCCACTCCTTCCATCAAGAGCGGGAGCCTATTTCCTCTCTCTTTGAATCTGGGCTGGACTTGTGAGTTGCTTTAATGAATAAAGTGCTTCCACTTTTGCTCTCTTGGGAGCCCTGAGCTGCCATATAAAGAGGTCCAGCTACTCTGCTGGACATTCCATGAAGAGATAAAGAACCCTGGCCAGTTCCCAGCTAGTGCATCCATGCCAGTAAGGCACCAGACATGTGAAGGAAGTCATCTGGAATCATACCCTTTAGAAGATTCCAGGAATGATCCCTGGATAGACCATCAGAAGAACCATGAAGCTAACTAAGTCCAGACTAATTGGCAGAATCATGAACAAATAAATGGTTATTATTTTAATCCACTAAATTTTGGCGTAGTGTTACGCAGCAATAGATAACTGAAAAATATGTCTAAAACTGAACTTTTCATTCCCTACCCTCAATACCTCACACTTCCCAGTCTTCCCCATCTCTTTAAATTGCGCCATTATTAATCAGGTACTCAGGACAAAAGTCAGAAAGTATTGCCACTTCTAGTTTAAAACATATTCCAAATCCAAACACTTTCTACCGGTTCTACGGCTACTACCCTGACCTTTCACCTGGACAATGGCAGTAGTCTTCTTTCTTTATTGCTATTTTTTCTTAACATTTAATAATCTTTACATTGGTTCGGATTCATGCATTGCATTTAGTGGTCATGTGTCTTAGTCTCCTTCGACCTGGAATGGTTTCTCAGTTTTTAACTTTTATGACCTTGATATTTGGGAGATTGTAGGCCAGTTATTTTGTAGAATATGCCTCAATTTGAGTTTGTCTGATATTTCCAAATGATTAGATTCAAGTTATGAATCTTCAGCAGGAATAGCATGGAAGTGGTTTTGTGTTCTTCTCATTGCATTCTATCAGGAGGCATGTGATTTCCATTTGCTTTGGTATTCATGATTTTAACTGATTTTTTGTTTAAGATGGTATTTGCCAGGCTTCTGTACTACAAAGTTATTTTTTCCTCTTTTGTAATTGATAAGTATTTTATAGGGAGGTACTTTGAGACTATGTCAATATCCCATTCTTCATCAAATCCTTATTTGTTTATTTATTTATATTAGCATTGACTCATGGTTTCCTATTTTATCCAGTGAGTTATAATCCATTATTATCATTAATTATTTTGATGTTGAAATTGTCCCAGATTTGGCCTGTGGGAGCCCCTTCAAGCTGGCTTCTGTGCCCTTTGGACATGCCCCACCATTCTTTGAGCACTTGCCTGCTTTCTGGCACAAGATATTCCAGGCTCATCTTTACTTTGCCCTGGAATTAGACATTTCACCAAGGAACTCTGATTCCTTTTATTTATTTATTTATTTTTTTTTTTTAAAGATTTTATTTATTTTATTTTTTCCCCCCAAAGCCCCAGTTGATAGTTGTATGTCGTAGCTGCACATCCTTCTAGTTGCTGTATGCGGGACTCGGCCTCAGGATGAACGGAGAAGTGGTGCCTCGATGCGCACCCGGGATCCGAACCCGGGGCCGCCAGCATTGCAGCGCGCACACTTAACCACCAAGCCACAGGGCCGGCCCTCTGATTCCTTTTAATGGATGATGGTATTTAGAAGCCAAGATCTGGGTGCTCGGTGTGCTCACTGCTAATGAGGTGTTAATGTTCCAGGTTCTCTCAGTGGACAAAGTTAGAGAATGTATTTATTTCTATATCTATTGAAAACTTGGAGTTCACACTGATACTTCTAATTTTAATCCAATACTACAGGATTCCTTTTAGTTTTCTCTTTCCATATTTGTAACTCCATTTTCTAACATTGAGAAATCTGGCTCCCATTATCCTAAATATGTTTTTATTTGATCAGTCCCCAAGTATGAAGCCAATCTTCCATCATCGCTGCTGGCCCTTCCCTCATGTGGATGCCCTGCTTACCCTACTTTAGATCTGATATCCTGCACTGGATTGCCCTTCTACAGATGCCCTCCTCACCCGGTTCCTACCTACTACTTCAGGCTCTGAGGTTGGACACCCCTGCAGACACCTTCTTCACCAGGCTCAGGCTCTGACACCTTGTGAATGGACACCTTACTATAGGCCCTGACACTCTGCTGAGCCATGTCTACATCCTTCTTACTGCACTGGCTGACAGCCCACTCCATGCTACTAATCTGTATTGATACTTTCATTCCATTCGAGTCCCAACACTCTATATCTCCTCCTTCCCTCCATGCCACCCACATCCTGTTCAGCCTCCTACACTCCAATCTGGACTCCTACTACCTCCGCTGGTGCAGATACTTACTGTGCTTGGCCCCACATACTGGCTCGTTGATTGAAATGTTAAAGAAGTGCAGAGAAGAGAATTAAAGGTATGATGAGAGGACAGGAAAGAGAGAGTTGAAATTTTGCAATAACCTTCTACTGATCTCTCTGCTTCCATCCTGTCCCCCTCCAATCCATTCTCCATACAGCAGCCACAATAACTTTTAAAACACAAATTGGATATCACTCCCTTGTTTAAAACCCTCCAATTGTTTCCCACCTTAGAAGAAAATCCAAACTTCTTACAATGATCTGTAAGCCCTTCCACATCTGATCCTTGTTATCTGTGAAACCTCATCTCAATGCAGGCTCCCGAGTTCCCCACTGTCACCCCTCCTACTTATGTTCCAGCCACACAGGCCTATGTGGTCCTCAGTAACTCATTCCTGCCTCAGGGCTTTTGCACTTGATGTTACTTCTGCCTGAACTTTCCCCTAGAACTTCATATGGCTGGCTTCTTCCTTCTTATGATTTAGATCTCAGCTCAAACGTCACCTGCTCTGAGAGGGCTTCCCTGATAATACTATCAATATTCCTTCCCTAGTTACTTTTTAGCTCATACATGCCCTATTTTGTATCCATGGCAACTAGAATTATCCAGGTATCCTGGTTTATTTTTTAACTATCTCCACCAACTAGAATGTGAGTTCTATGACAACACAGACTTTGTCTGTTTTGTTTATCACTGTATCTCCAGCACCTACAATAACAGGTACTTAATAATTATTGAGTGAATGAGTGAAAAAATACATAATCTCTGTTCTTTCTGTCACTTAAGAAATGCTAAGAAGATAGGATGGACTTGTGGAAAGAACATTGATCTTGGAGTCAGACGAGCCCTGGATTTTAAAGCGCTGTGTGATTTTGAGTCTTTTACTTTATCCTGAGTTTGATTCTCATCTGTAAAAAAAGGTGACAATAAAACCTACCTTGCAGGGTTGTTATTAGGATTAAAAACAAGATCACACACGTGGCAACACCAAGCACAGTATTTGGCATACAATTAGGCTGTGGTTTCCAAACATTGTTGCATGTTGGAATCACCAGGAAATCTTTACAAACTTCTGATGCCCGCCTTCCACATCCAAACATTCTGATTTAATTGGTATGGGGTGCAGTCTGGCCATCGCAGTCTTTAAAAGCTCTCCAAGTGATTCTAAAATGGGCAGCAAAGTTTGTGAACCACTGCAATAAAGGACAATTGTCTGATAATTAAATTAAATAGCATGGCAAATTCAGAGTGAGGATTTGAGGAGCAGCACTCAAGTTACCCATGTATTGTCTGTGCTTAAATTCAGCTCTCCCTTCAGAAAGCCCTCATAAGATTACATTTAACAACTAATGATCGATTTGCTTCTTGGATTGCTTTTTTCCCCGAAGACAACAGTGTACATACTTATCCAGTGATACAAGATAAGGCCAGACCTGAAACTTCCTGCTCCCTTTACATTGCCTGGGTAAAAAGACAGTAGCTGTTAAGACTTGACTTCCACATTATACCATACACAAAAATTACTTTGTAATGGATCACGGAGCTAATTGTGAAACTAAAGCAACTACATTTCCAGAAGAAAACATTAGGAGAATGACATTGGGATAGGCAAAGATTTCTTAAACAGGAGACAAAAATCACTAACCACACGCAAAAAAGATTGGTAAATTGGACTTAATTAAGAAACTGTTTATCAAAATAAACAAACCAAAAAACTCAAAACAAAAAAACTGAAAAACAAAAAACCAGAAAACTGCCATTATCCTGGCCTGCCCCTAATTTGCCAGTGTTTGGCTTTGCACTAAGAGCGACATGCTGACCAAAGATGAATAAGTACCTCATGAAAAAGTGAGCTCACCACGAAAAGACACAGAGGAATCATAAATGCATATTTTTAAGTGCAAGAAGCCAGTCTGAAAAGTCTACATACTGTATGATTCCAACTATATGACATTCTGGAAAATATAATACTATAGAGACAATAAAAAGATCAGTGGGGGCTGGCCCCGTGGCTTAGTGGTTAAGTGTGCCCACTCCGCTATTGGCGGCCCAGGTTCAGATCCAGGGCGTGCACAGATGCACCACTTCTCCGGCCACGCTGAGGCCACGTCCCACATACAGCAACTAGAAGGATGTGCAGCTATGACATACAACTATCTACTGGGGTTTTGGGGGGGAAAAAAAAAGAGGAGGATTGGCAATAGATGTTAGATCGGAGCCGGTCTTCCTCAGCAAAAAGAGGAGGATTAGCACAGATGTTAGCTCAGGGCTGATCTTCCTCACAAAAAATAAATAAATAAAAAAAACAAAAAAAAAAACGAGATCAGTGGTTGCCAGGATTGGAAGAGGGGAGGAAAGAGGGAGGGATGAATAAGTGAAACAGGGGATTTTTAGGGCAGTGAAATTATTCTGTATGATATTATAATGGTAGATACATGACATTATGCATTTGTCAAAACTTATAGAACTGTACAGCACAAAGAGTAAACCCTAATGTAAACTACTAACTTTAGTTAATAATGTATCGAGTGGTTCATCAATTCAAACAAATGTACCACACTAATCGAGATATTAATATGGAAAACGGGGAGAGGGGGCATATGGGAACTCCGTACTTTCTGCTCAAATTTTCTGTAAATCTAAAACTGCTCTAGAAAACAAAGCCTATTAATTTTTTAAAAATGTAATAAAAAAAGTGAGCTCAAAGGTGTTTTTTTAAAGTAAGTGATAATACAGTATCCGTGAAAAGTAACTTTTTCACTTCTGCATTAATCAACCTAGTAACCAATTACACTGTATCATGTTAGTCTATCATTCCAATTTATACATTTTTAGCAACGGCTGGTTTTCAGTGTTTAAAGGAAAAAAATCGATTTTATAGGATTCAGAAAATCCAAAAGCCTAAGTCTGTTAAAACCATAATTTTATTGTCTATATAGTTAGCCAACAATTTGAAAGAAAAATCAGTGTTATAAATAAATTATAAATATAGGGCAACAGCATCTCTAAATTATGATCTTTGGTTGTAAATGCTAAATAAAAGTAACTGCATATCAAATTTCATTTTAATTAATGAAAAGCCTGCTTCTGCTTTTAAAAGTGATTTCTTTAAATGTAATCCCACTATTTTCCTATGCTATGCTGGAGGTGAAACACGTTTCTCTGTAACTCTTAGAAAACGTTTATACTACAAAAACCACCCAGTCTTTAAAAATTTTTAAAGCCAATATGCCAATCGTCTTCGTGATTGATAAATTCATCAGTCTATTCAGAAATGCAACTAGATCTCACAACCTGAAATAATGTTTTCTATAAAAAAAGTGTTTTGGATATTTATTTCCTATGGAAAATTTGAAACTTTCAGAACATAGCACTATAATTTAAAAACTTTTATTGTTAATATTCCATCTCTGCTTTTTGCAAGTAATGGAAATATATATGAGATGGATATCAGGAAATAGGTAGAATTATAATTCAAATGAAAACAACGAAAGGATATGATTTATAAATGCATAAGATTAGTCAAACTTTGTTATGTAACAAAAAGACAAATCTAGCTAATGGCCTGCTTGTTCCCAATAGTATTAAAAACAGAACTGTCACATACACACACAAAAAGACATTTTGTTTTGGTTATTTCAACTATACAGTAGTCCCCATTAAAAGAGAATGAAAAGTACAGAAAGAGTATTTTTGTAAAACATCTACATGTAATAACTAAGGTTTATGCCAAGATTTTTCTTCAGGAGTGAAAATGATAAAGCAAAGAATGTGAAAATCTTAAGAAAGAAAGATTAATAAGAAATGTCTTTTGGCAAATTGAGATCTTTGGTGGCTTGAACTCCATTAGATGTTCCTCTGCATCAGAAAGGGACTCTGTTAAGTGCCTGTAAGCCCAAGTGAGTGGGAAAAAGATTCTTTTCAGTACAACGGCAGTTTTCCTGGGAGTGACTGGCTTTATTACCAAATAGGGACAGCTTAATCCTGAAAATTTACTGCTGAATGGTTGGAAAGGACTATTAAACTGAAAATCACTAGCACAAATGCACTGAGCAGAAACATTATTCCCAGCTTCAGACTCTATTCTCTAATAGAGAAATGTTCTCTATTAAAATTAGTCTTAAAACAAAAAATGTGAAAACACTAAATGCCTCAAAAATGAAAAAAATGCTGAACAATACACGATCAACGTGATTTACTTTAGCTAGCTGAAAGTAAGCTTTTTTTATTCTAAAAAATTCTATTTACAAAGTATGTTTACATTGCATTTTAAAAGACATGTATCAAGTGTTAATAAGTCATTATAGCAATTTTATAAAAAGATTCATATCCTTTCAAATGTTTTTTGTCATTATTAAAAAAATTTAAAGGCAGTAAACCGTCATTGCCGCGAGAGAGCGCGTGATCTTAAGGGAAGAAACATCTCACTAGAGTTTCCACAGGTTCCTTCTTCTAACTGCAGCTCTGGTGGCAAAGGAGGAGCCCCAGGGTCCCCAGGTCTAGGAAGCGTAGTTGAAGAGAACGTGGGATTTTCAGTTCTGCCTACTTCTAGAACAGGCAAATTCAGAGAAGAATCAGTAGAAAAAAAGGGGGCTGTGCTGGATTCTCCTTCTGGATGGTATATGACAGTGGATGCTCTCAGTTTTTCAGAGAAATTACTCTCATCTGAATTTGATCTAGAGAGGTTGTTTGTAGCTCCATCTGGAAAAGGCTCACAGCTGCTACATTTCAGTCCTACAATAAAATTATTCAGATGTAAGTAAAAAAGTAACTAAAGAAACTGAGTCCATGGCCATCTTGTAACTTTTTAAAGATTCCAAACTAGTTACCACACAACCAAAATTTAAATAGTAATTTATAAGTTCTGTCATTATCCATATCAAATTTTCATTTGCTTTTCCCAACAACCATGAAGTATACTATTATTTACATTTTCTAAAGTCTCAAGGAAGCCAAATGACATGCAAAATTCACATTTAATTTGTTATACTTGTATTCTTAACCACTGAAGGACCTGGAAAAAATTAAGTAGCACCTAAAATTCTTCCTAGATTAAGAAATAGCTTTCACAGCTAATAAATATTCTTTAGGGGCTGGCCTGGTGGCATAGTGGTTAAGTTCATACGCTCTACTTTGGTGGCCCGGAGTTCTTGAGTTCGGTTCCCAGGCACGGACCTACACACCACTTATCAAGCCATGCTGTGGCAGGCGTCCCACATATAAAGTAGAGGAAGATGGGCAGATGTTAGCTCAGGGACAATCTTCCTCAGCAAAAAGAGGAGGATTGGCAATAGATGTTAGCTCAGGGCTAATCTTCACAAAAAAAAAAAAAAAAATTAAAAATAAATAAATAAATGAATAAATAAATATTGTTTAGCATTCTGGCACAAAAACCATTACCGGATAAAAACAAAATCTAAACAGCATATACTAAAATTCTGAGTTGATTAATGCCAATTACTGATTCTTGAATCACATGGTGTTAGAAGTGGAAGGGATTTTAGAGGTCATCTGGGATGGCCTCTCAGTATTAGAGATGAGAAAACAAAGGCACAGGGGCCGGCCTGGTGGCGCAAGCGGTTAAGTGCGCACGCTCCGCTGCGGCGGCCCGGGGTTCGCTGGTTCGGATCCCGGGCGCGCACAGACGCACTGCTTGGTAAGCCATGCTGTGGCGGCGTCCCATATAAAGTGGAGGAAGATGCCGTCTTCCTCAGCAAAAAAAAGAGGAGGATTGGCGGATGTTAGCCCAGGGCTGATCTCCCCAAAAAAAAAAAAAAAAA